ACTTTTGGTTTAATAAGTTAATTAAATAAATTAATTAACTAATTACTAAAAAGCCCCTCCTAAGTTGACTAAACATAGGAGAATGTTGACTTGACCAAAAATCTAGAATTTTGGTGTTGACTATGATTTTGTAAACATTTTGACTTTATTTTAATTAATTAAATCCTTAATTTAATTAATTTACGGACCTAGGGTAATTACTAAAGTACCCTAGTCATTCGAACCATAAGCAACCCTTTAGGACCATCCTAGATTAAGTACTAGGATGTTTCTCGAATTGTACTGGGCTAGCATAAGAATTTATGTTTGACCCCTTTAATTTAATTAATTAAATATCTAATTTAATTAATTAAGTGACCTAGGGTAATTACTAAGGTACCCTTAAGTCGTTATAAGCATAACTAATCCTTTGGACAATCCTTGGTTAGGTACTAGGTTGTCTTTTTCATGTCTTAATCGAAATCTGGAAATTGTTTTGTGATTTTGATTTTCACAAAACAATTAAGTTGCTAAATTAATTAATTTAGTAGCCTAGGGTAATTAATAAAGTACCCTTAAGCCGTTAGGATCTTACCTAACTCTTTGGACCATCCTAGGTTAGGTACTAGCTTGTCCCTTTCTTGTCTTAACCGAAATCTAAAAATTTCTTTTTTATTTTCGGTTTTAGCCCTTTTAAATTAATTAATTAATTAGGTAACCTATGGGAATTTCTAAAGTATCTTTAAGTTTTCAAGACTATAACTAACCTTTTGGACCATCCTAGGTTAGATACTAGGTTGTCTCTTTAACTAGTACTAGGCTAGTGTCAACCAGGTTTTCGTCCTAGGTTTTCGGGTGCACTAATGGGTACATTTCGGTTTTAGCTAGGACATTTAGTTAGGACCTAGAATCGGTTTAGAGTTGAATGGAGAAAATTCTATTCCTAAAGGTCGTATCATCTCTTGTCTAAAGGCTTATAAGATGAACTGTAAAGGGTGTTTATACCATATTGTAAGTGTCAAAGATTTAGACTCCGAAACTCCTCCCATTGATTTAGTCCTCGTAGTGAGAGAATTTACGGAGGTCTTTCTTAATGATCTTCTCGGAATCCCTCCCGAGTGGGAAATTTATTTTGGTATTGACTTGCTACCGGATACGAACCCCATTTCAATTCCTTCTTATTAGATGGCTCCGGACGAATTGAAAGAGTTGAAGGCTCAACTCAAAGACTTATTAGACAAAGGTTCATTTGACCTAGTATTTCTCCATGGGGTGCTCCGGTGTTGTTTGTGAAGAAGAAGGATAGAACCCTTATAATGTGTATCGATTACTGGCAACTTAATAAAGTCACTAAATAACAAGTATCCTCTCCCTAGGATTGATGATTCAGTTGATTAACTCCAAAGTGCGAGTTACTTTTCAAAGATTGATTTGAGGTCGGGATATCACCAACTTAGGGTAAGAGGTAAAGATATTCCCAAAATAGCTTCCTGAACTAGGTATGGTCGCTATAAATTCCTAATTATGTCATTTGGATTAACAAATGCCTCGGAACCTTTAATGGACCTAATGAATAGAGTATTCCAAAACTACCTTGATGTTTTTGTGATTTTCTTCATTGATGACATCTTGGTATATTCTAAAGGTGAGGATGAGCATATGGACCATTTGAGGGTGGTATTGCAAGACCTTAAGGAACACCAACTTTTTTCCAAGTATAGCAAATTTGAATATTGGTTGAGATCAGTTGCGTTTCTTGGTCATATCATCTCTAGTGAGTGTGTAGAGGTCGATTTAATAAAGACGGAAGTAGTTAAGAATTGGCCTAGACCTTTGGCTCCAACCGATATAAGAAGTTTCTTGGGTCTAGCCGGGTACTATAGAAGTTTTGTCGAAGGGTTTGCGTCTATTGCATCTCATTTGACTCAAAAAATGTGAAATTTGAGTAGTTGGCGGCTTGTGAAAGAAGCTCCCAAGTGTTGAAAGATAGGATTACCTCCGCTCCGATGTTGACCTTACCGAAAGGTACCAAGGGTTTTGTGGTATATTGTGATGCTTCTCGAATCGATTTGGGTTGTGTCCTTATGCAACATGGTAAGGTTATAGCTTATGCCTCTAGGCAACTCAAGTTTCATGAGAAGAACTATCCAACTCATGATATTGAGTCAGCGGTCACGGTGTTTGCCTTGAAAATATGGAGGCATTATTTATATGGTGTCCATGTTGATGTGTATACCGACCATAACAGTCTTCAATATGTGTTTACTCAAAAGGATTTGAATCTCCGACAAAGGAAATGATTGGAATTGTTGAAAGATTACGACATGAGTGTTCACTACCACCCCATCAAGGCCAATGTAGTTGCAGATGCTCTAAGTCGTATGACCATGGGTAGTGTGTTTCATGTGGAAGAATCTAATAAAGACCTAGTGAAAGATGTTCATAGGTTGGCTCGTTTGGGTATTCGATTGGAAGATTCTCCTAATGGTGGTTTTATGGTCCATCATAACTCTGAATAATCTTTGGTGGTTGAGGTGTAGTCTAAGCAACACCTTGATCCATAATTGATGGAGTTGAAGGAATCGATTATTGGTAAGCTTAATGAGTCATTCTCCTTAGGAAAGAATGGTGCTTTTTGAGGTACCAAGAGAGGATGTTTGTGCCCAATGTTCATAATTTGAGAAACCACATTCTTGAGGAAGCTCATGGTTCCCATTATTCTATTCATCCGGGTTCTACTAAGATGTATCTTGACCTTAGAGAAGTATTTTGGTGGGATGGCTTCAAAGGGACATAGCAAAATTTGTTGCTAAGTGTTTAAATTGCCAACAAGTAAAAGTCGAGCACCTAAAATTGTATGTCTTACTTCAAGAAATACAAGTTCCCACTAGAAAGTGGGAAGACATTAATATGGACTTTGTAGTGGGTTTTCCTCCAACACAAAGACAAAATGACTCTATATGGGTTATAGGTTGACAAAATCCACTTACTTTATCCCTGTTAAGTCTACTTATTCAGCAAAAGAGTATGCAAGAATTTATATTAATGAGGTTGTGAGTCTTCATGGGATCCATTTATCAATCATTTCGGATAGAGGTGCTCGATTCACTTCTTGGTTTTGGAGATCCTTCCAAAAAGGCTTAGGTACTCAAGTGAAGTTAAGCACAACTTTTCATCCCCAAACGGATGGTCAAGCGGAGCGTGCAATTCAAACCCTTGAGGATATTCTTAGAGCTTGTGTTATTGACATCAAAGGAAATTGGGATGAACACTTGTCATTGGTTGAGTTCTCTTATAACAATAGTTACCATTCGAGTATATCCATGCTTCCTTTTGAGTCTTTATATGGTAGGATATTTAGGTCTCCAGTTTGGTGGTTTGAGATTGGTGAGTCTTCATACTTTTGTCACAAATTGATCTATGAAGCTTTGGAGAAAGTTCATTTGATAAGGAATAGATTGAAGACGGACTATAATCGGCAAAAATCTTATGTCGACAATAGGAAAAGATACCTTGAATTTGAAGAAGGTTATAAGGTGTATTTGAAAATTTCACCTATGTAACAGGTGATGAGATTTGGCAAGAAAGGGAAACTTATTCCTCTTTATGTGGATCCCTATGAAATTTTGCAAAGGGTTGGCAAGGTTGCTTATGAGTTGAAATTACCTAGTGAACTAGCTTATGTATTTTGAGGGTGAAACAATTAAATAGAGAAAAATTACATAAATATACAACTTATTTTACCATATTTTCTAAAATTCTCTACCATTTAAAAAAATTATAGAAACTCCTACTCTCTCCTATTCTCAGACATCACTCTTAAGTGATGTATTGGGATGCAATTTATCTGAACATGTGTCTCATATCAACAATAACGGTAATGTGCCAGGACACGATTTATCAGGGCTTTAAGCGATTTTTATCGGGACATGTGTTGTGTATAAATAAAGATAATATATTGAAACGTGATGTATCAGACGTTAAGTGATATATCCAAAAATTGAGATGCAAAGTATCGAGACATTGAATGATGCGTCCGAAATCAGGACATGTTGTATTAAGACACTGAGTGATGTATCCAAAATTCTTAAAATTTAAGGAACTTTTATAACATAAGAAAAAATAGGAATATATAAAATATATTTAAATATATAATCATTGTTCAACTATGTGTATATACATAATTTTTTTGTAGTTAACAAGTACGTGTGCATCACTACTCTTCCACACGGGTTCACCAGTGTACATAGAGCAAGCTTATATTCAAAGAGTCTCATAGCCTCAAGTATGGTCACATATGAATCATGAACGGTTGTAGTTTTAAAATAAGCAGTACACTAGTGGCAACTAAAGCAAGGAATAGCTAAAGTCTCAACCCGCCCAATCCGCCCAAATCCATTCAGGTTTGGGTAGAAGAATCCATTTCACCCCATGACAAATTAAATTGATATGTAATCCAAAATTATTTTTGAAAAATCTTATCCAAATATTTTTAAAAACTTTGCTTTGATTTTATATGAGAAATTTATTAGATACTTAAAAGCTTATAAAATAACAAATAAAGTTATTAAAACTTAGTAAAAGTTGGACAGATTGGATTATTGCCAATGGCGGAGCCACATTGTCATTAGGAGGTTCATCCGAACCCCTTCAGCGAAAAATTATATTATTTTTACATGGTTAAAATAATTTTTTAGGTATATGTAGTAGATGTTGAACCCCCTTCGGCTACTTATCTGCCTATTTCTTCAATTTTTGAATCCCCTTGCTAATAATTTGGCTCTGCCACTGATTATGACCCATTACTAACCCACGTTACCTGACCCATTTTGACCCAACCCTCTTTGGCCCAAACAAATTTGAGTCGGATTGGGTCTTGACCCGTTTATTATCTTTGACCATTTTAACACGCTCAAATTTAACCCAATCCACACAATTGTCACCCCTACTCACCTCATGACATGTCATATTACGGAATATGCCTCCTAGGCTCCTACATGCAGTATTCAAAAACCTATGCCTATAAGAACCTCATGCTGAATATGTATTGGTACAGGTTGTCAAGTAAATAAAGGTTACAGGTTACAGTCAGTAAACAGCTTAGGGCAAGAATCAGCCGTGTAAATGAATGTGAAGAGGTAACACACACTGGAGCAAACACTCGTCAAGTTTAATCTATTATAAAATTTATCAGCCTCTTAGAGAAGCAAATCTGGCAGTCAAATCATCATAATCTGGTAGTTTGGGATGCACATGACATGCCTGGTTGTCGGGCTGAAATGAATTGGCACGAGCAAAGATAGGTGTTGCCTTCGATGGAGAAGCCTGCTCGTGTGGGAGGGAAATAGATCTTTTGGGGAAAACAACCACATCTGATTCCATTTTATCCTGATCTCCATTGGTTTGATTATTTGAGAATTCACCAGTATCAGGAGTTGCCAGAGCTTGTGGCATTTTTCTCACATCATACTTTGATGGTCTTTTACTGTAATGCAGCAATAGTTTATCTATCATTCTTTCCTCTTCATCTTTTCTATGGCGTTCATCCTCAAATAAAATCTGCAAGCCTTTCCTTGAATGTTCCCTTCGCCGGCTACTTGAACTTCTCTTGGCTCCTCTGGCATCTTCAGACTTATCTACTTCACCGTGATTATTAGTAGCTGATTTATGGTGCTTTCTCCTAAGAGATCTTGGTTTGGGCAAAATCACATCCTTGTGAGAGAATTCTTTATCATGACCATGACTATTTGTTCTAGTGGGTTTAATAGTTTGAGCCACATGATCAGAAAGGTCTGATTCTTTAGTGATCTTAATTGTTTCAACTCTAGTGGATGGAGAGGAACTTCTGAAATGGCCATCAAATTCAGAAGCAGACTGCTTAGAACCTTTGAGGCCTCTTTCCTTGCTATCTTTTCGCTTTACATATGGAGGATGGATGGCTTTCTCTTTGGACTTACTGTATGGTGGAGGGAGAGCAAACTTGGCATAGGATGTCATTAACCTATTTCCAGCGTCCTGCTGAACCATTTTTTTTGAGTTGACAGTATTCTTTTCAATGGCTGTGTCCCGAGCAGAAGTGACATCTTCATTTCTGAAAGGGAGTCCCCTACTAGGAGCAGTCTCTGATCTTGCACAAGATAGAGTGTCCTGTACTCTTCCTGTGAGAATTTGACCATGATTTTCATTGTTTCTAGTAAATTTATAATCAAAACCTTCTCGCCTCTCTCCATGTGATGAGTTGCCTGATTTTGCTATCCTTGTTGAATTATCATCTTTCTCCATGACTGCTTTGTTTCTTATCCTTGTCTGTTCCTCCTCGTCAAACAAGATATCATGTTTTCGCCCCACTGAATAGCATGTTTCCTGCTTTGTAAGATGTTTATTTCTATCCTTGTTTGATTCTTTTCCTTCAGAGGAATGAAGATCCTGCTGCTCTTTTTTCAAGACAGCACCCTCTCTTCCATTCTTTATGTTATGTTGATCATTCAATCCCTTGTGCCTTTCACCAAGTGCAACGTCAAGTTTATCAGCTTTTAAACCACCATCCTTGCCATTTGGTAGAATGTGATTGCCAGCAGAAGCATGTGAAAGTCCACTCCTGTTTGGTTGAGCCTACAATAATTAAGCCGTATACAACGGTCAAGCTTCACTTTAATCTAATATTTGACGAAAAGTTATGTTTCTTTTCCCCAAACTTTTCCCCAGACAGTTGAAAGAAGTACAAATTATGATATTTACCGAAGATGAAGGATGACCATTCATTTGGAGGCAAACACTAGCAACATTTACACCTTTTAGCAGCCAAAGAAAATTTCAGTTTTAAACTAAAATTATGTACCTGTGCAAATGCCATCCTCTTTTGAAATCCCATGGAGTCCCACCTTATGGAAAATTCTACCACTATATCTTGCAGCAGCTGAATTCTCTTCTCCACTGCAGGGGGGCTTGAAGATAATTTCTCCACAAACTGACAGCACTGAAGGAAGTCAGATATAAAAGAGAGATGAAAAGAGAAGATGTGCAGGACATAGTCTAATAAGCAAATTACCTTCTGGTTAACAAAACATTCTAAAGAGTTCCCGTATCTCTCCTGAAATAAATCCCTTAGCTCTCGTAATTCTGGTAAATCGGAGAATCTTGCTGCAGCAAACATCAGCGATGCCACAGCTTCTCTGCAGTTCTCAGGACAGCCCCTGGATATAGACGGTATGTGTAAATTATTATTGAAGTTCTCACATCATAGTTGGGAAAACAAGGTCTCAATCTAAAGAGTTGCAAAACAAGGTCACTGGACTTCCAAGTGTAAATACAGAAGCTAAAGGACATGAATTGCCTAGGTGATATAATTATTTATGGACAAAAGTTCAAGTCTAAGAATAGGTGGATTTGCATCCAAGAATCAGCAACAACACAAGTGTAATCCCACAAAGTGGTGTGTATGCAACCTTACCCCAACCTTGTGAAGGTAGAGATGTTTCTGATAGACCCTCGACTCAAGTAAAGCATACAAAAAAAAAAAGTATGCAAAGCAAGTACAATAGCGAAGAAGTCATGCTGAAACAATGAACAAGAGAACAGTAGCATGCCAAGTGAAATACGATAACCGAAGCAAATGAAACATCAAATAATACTAAAATGGAAGGATAAGATAATAATAGAGCAATAATAACAATATTAAAAATGAAACTAAACAGCGCTCGACCTACTAACCTTCTAACCTAATTCTCGACCTCCTCGGTGAGTTGATGGTAAGTGATTTCTGTCTCCGAGACTTCTTCAGTCTACCTTTACCTCTACCTCTCCTTAGAATCCACTATAGCCAACCTCTCAAACCTTCTCAGAGGGGCATCTGTACAACTTCTCTTCACATGTCTGAACCATCTCAGCATCACGTCCCTTATCTTGCCAACCACGAATGCACTCATACCTTGTCTCTGGTATCTTCGTTTCTGATCCCAGTATGCCCGATGCATCTCAACATCCTTATTTCCACAACTCTCATCTTCTAAACATGCAAGATCCTGATCGACCAACACTCCGCCTCATACAACATAGCAGGTCTAACCACCACTTTATAAAAACATACTTTTAAGGCTTGGTGGCACATTCTTTATCACATAAGACATTGGATGTGAACTTCCATTTTTTGGAGAAAAGGGTAACTTTGTATTCACACCAAAAGATTCATCATCTAAAAAATGATGAATTGGAAACTTACATCCCACATAGGTTATTCTTTATAAGTTTCCTATAAAATTAACTAATTCTAGCATCTCCCTATCAGATTTTATTTACACCAAAAAAACAAAAGGCTTATACAATTCATTCTAATATTCTGTAAATTAGTTTTTTGTCCATCAAAGCACCTTGAGTTCCTTTCTTTTCAAAGAGTCCATCGTGCATATTGGGATATTTCTTCACCACAGTTCTTTTCTTCCACTGTCGCAAATACCTTTCCAACTGCTTAGGAGTTCCATTGTCGTGTTAGGCTTCACCCACGTAACACCTAACAAAAAAAAACATGTTCCATAGGCTCAAAGTTGCCTTTCAGTGAAGGAATAGATGATTATTGATTTCTTCTTCCTGCTCACACATGACACATCTTGAGCAAATCTGCCAGCCCCTTTTAGGTAAAGCCTCATGAGTTAGGCATGTCTTTCTACATACCAAACAAGTAAAACAAGCCATCTGTCTAGCTCTATATGTATTGTGTTAAGATTCCAATAACATGATATCACTGTAAACACCCCTTTGATGTGTAGTTTACATCTAGGTTTGTCATGTCTCACAGATAGAGCTGGATGTGAGTTTAAACCTTTCAATAAATTAGCAACTTCTCCAATTTCCCAGTCATTTGATGCTCTTCTAAATAAGAGCTCCCAACCATGATGACTCCAAACTTGGGATACCTTCGTATTCCTCTGAAGACTTAAGGTATATAGGTGTTGAAAAGAGTGTCTCACTATCTTCTCCAATCCACACCTCATGAAAAAAGATATTTTTAAAGCATTACCCCACAGTGATTGAGATGTTATTGTTGAACTGGGGCCACAGTCTTCTTATGGTATTCCAGACACTTACCCCATTGGTGCCCACAACTTCCTCAGTTGTCCATTAAGTAAGTAAACCATATTTCCCTGATATAAATCTTCTCCAGATGGCTCCCTCTTCTAAGCAGAACCTCCAGAGCCATTTTGCAAAGAGAAATGTTCTGTTCTCTATGGTTCTTCAAACTAAGCCCCCCTTGCTGATTGTTGAGGTTCAATACATCCCATTTCACCAGATTGTAACCTCTCTTCTCCTTGCTTCCTTGCCATAGAAAGGACCTCCTCACCCTGTTAAAAAAAATTCTCAATGCTTTTAGGTAGAGGGGAAAGGCTCATCATGTATGTTGGGAAGCCATCCAGTCCTGACTTGGTGAGAGTCAATCTGCCCCCTAATAATAGATGTTGACTTTTCCACATGAACAATTTTTTCTCACACTTTTCCATCACCCCACTCCACACTTTCAATTCTTTATTTTTGGCCCCTAATGGCAACCCCAAATATTTAGTTGGTAAGGAGTCCACTTGACAACCCAAAATAGCAGCCAAGTTTTGCAAATTCCAAACCTGGTTGATAGAGAAGATGTGGCTCTTAGATTCCTTCAAAAATAGTTAGGGTGGCTCTTAGATGTCTGATTTGACTTGATTCTGCTTCAGGCGTCATCTGCATATAACAGATGAGATACTTCAACATGGACTTTACCTTGTTTATAAGTGTGATTTTCAATGATTTTTTTTGTATCAAATCCTAACGTTAAACCAATAACTAAACTAATAACGATCAATAATTGATAAACCAATAACGGTAAGCTATTATCTTAATGGTTTTATAACGGTTTAGCATGTCTATAAACCGATAACCAACAAGTCAAATCGATAAACTTCAAAATCAGACTGATCAAAACGACACACAACCCTAAACTGCGTACTCTTTTTGTTGACACGAAAATGATAAAAATTTCTTTTTGTCCTTCATATTTTTTCATGTCCCTATATTTTATCCTCAATATTACCAAATTATATAAAAAATAAAAAGGCTCTGCTAGAGCGTAGTCAGCCAGCTTCTATTGAACTTGACCGCATCACTTGCATTTTAATTTATATATAAAAAGTGAAACAGAGAAAAAAAAAAGAAACACAAAAACACAACAAAACAATTGAATAAATATGACGAAGGGATTAAAGCCAACGATGTTTTTTTTAGAAGGGAAGGCTCATTTCGGCATGAGCCTTGTAAGATACATTATGACAAGAGTCTTAAAAGCCTCATTCTGACATGAGCCTTACACACAGAATTTAACATTGTCAATGGCTCCATCCAAATGTTGCCCTTTTGGTTTCATAATCAATTTTGTTGCCTTTTGAAAATTTTGCTCAATTTTTTTGCCCTTTTGGCTCCAGACTCCTCCATCATACATATCCTTAGTTGCCCTACTGTAGGTTATAGGTACACCTTCAGTCTCCAAACACCTCCACAAACCCCCCTAGGAACTTTTTCATAAGCTTTTTCTTGGCCAATGAAACACCATATATATATCCCTCTTCCTCTCTCCCTTTAATGCTGTAGCAATCTCCTTACGAGACATATGGCTTCTACAATCGAACTGCCAAGTCCTTGTGCATTCTGTTCCATCATGACTTATGTAAAGATTCATGTGCGACATGCTTAATTGAAGCCTTAAAGTAGCTTCATTAAAAATTAGTTAGATCTCTCATGCTATTCTATTTACAAGAATTACTGGTATGAGGTATCTGTTACAAAACAGATATTCCCAAGTTGAAAATTGTTGTTAACCAATATTCTTTTTTAATAAATAATTCTGTAACTACCTATTGAGATTAAATTTGCATAGAATAAAATTAATGATATCAGGTGTAGAAGGTCCGAAGACAAACCCTTGTGTACCTTAGTTTCTGCATGTCGGAGAGCTGCATCAAAATATATTCACAAGATTGTTCCACAAAGTCATAGCAGGACAAGAGGTTCAGCCCAAGCAAAAATTCTTCAGTCTGCATCACCTCGTCAGAGATCATCAAACCACAATTAGATTCTAACTTTTCAGAAAATAAAAGAGTGTAAAAGAAATGAAAGAATGCATTAAGCCTTCTTAGCATTGATTAATTAATCAAGCTCAAATGCAAGAAGTTTCAGCTCACTATAACTGTTATAGTTGTCTCTAGAACTTCAGCTTATTTTCAGAATGCTTAGCTGGTGCACAGGTGTCTACAAAAACTTAAGCTAGAAGACGTAACGTAGGGCTGAAAAGACCGAGGAAGTGCACACCAAAATATATTGATATTTTTTTAAGTTGTTTCTCTTTCCTAGTTTGATTTAAAATTCTGCTAGCTATTCCTAAGTTTAGTTCCTTACTATCAGTAAGCAGTAAATCAGTTTAGCAGACTTAGCAGTACTTCACAGTATTTTAGTGAAGTTGTGAAAAGAAAGTGGTGTTGTTCGAGGCTTTATGGTCTCTTCTTTATAAACAAAAGCACATGCAGAGAAAGGAAAGTGCAAGTGCAGCAGTTGAACAAGAAATTGAACAGAGAAGAACTTATTTTGCTTGAACTAAAAGCTCTGTTCTTTTACAGCAGGCACTTAGAGTTACATATAAAATAAATGTTAACTTCTAACTCTTACAATAACTCTAACAATAAGACTCGTAGCTTAATAAACAACTAACCTGATCATCATTCCTAAAATATAGGAACTGTTATTCACTAATTTTTAGCACTCCCTCTTAATGCACGCTTACAATCAACAACTCCAACAGTAGCTGAAATATTCAAACTTAGGCTTTATCAAGGACTTGGTAAATATGTTTGCGACTTGCTCATTTGTAGAAAAAAACTTCTTGCTCCAGCACTTTCTCTCAAATGTAGTGATGACAAACTTCTATGTGCTTCGTCCGACCATGAAAAATTGGATTTGATGCAAGCTTGATAGCACTTCCATTATCACACTAATTTGAACAGCATAATCAACTTTGCACAACATCTCTCCTATTAATCTCTTTAATCACATACATTCTTGCGCAGCCATAGTCGCGGCTACGTACTCAGCTTCAGTGCTAGATACAGTTACCACTGGTTGTTTCTTGCTGCACCAAATAACCATAGTTGAACCAGTACTAAAAAAAATTCTAAAATTGTCTATCATTTGTATCTCCAGCCCAATCAGCTTCAGTATATCCATCTAACATGAATTTCTCATGTCTTTGTATGTAAGACCATAATCTAGTGAGCCTTTCACATAACGAAGAATTCGCTTTGCTGCATCTAGATGTGAGCTTCTTGGACACTGCATGAACTAAGAAACAATTCCCAACAGAATAAGCAATCTCTGTTCTAGTGATGGTTAAATAAATTAAACTACCAACAAGTTGCTGAAATTCTTTGGCATCTTTTAAAGGTTTTTGTTCAGCTTTCATCAACTTGAGATGTGGTTCCATTGGAGTTGCCTTTTCTTTCGACTCCCCCATACCAAAACACTGTTAACAGTTTCCTCGCATATCTTTTGAGAAACAAAATATCCTTGATCTGTTTTTTCAATTTCCAGACCAAGAAAACAGCTCACTTCCTCTAAATTCTTCATTTCAAATCGAACTAAAAGATCATTTGTTATCATAGAAATCGCAACTTCATTATTTCCCATAATGATCATGTCATCCACATATAACAAGACCATCATGTGCACATTTGATTCTGATTCAATAAATAAACTAGAATCTGCATCAGAAACTTTAAAGCCATAAATTATAAAGAATTTGGAAACTTTACCATACCACGCACTGGTGCTTGTTTAAGAGCATACAATGCTTTCTTTAATCGACAAACATGTTGAGGATACTGAAGAGAGATGTATCCTTTTAGCTGCTCTATAAACACTTCATGAACCAACTCTCCATAAAGAGAAGTGTTCTTTACGTCAAGCTGCCACAACATCCAATTCATAGATGCCGCAAGAGAAAAAATGGGTCTTCCAATTACCATTTTTGCAACTGGACTGAATGGTTCCTCATAATCCAGTCCATAACTTTGAGGAAAACCACGTGCAACAATCCGAGCTTTGTATTTGTCGACAACCCCATCCGAGTTTTTCTTCAAAGTTCAAACAATAAACCCATTTGCAAGTGATCAACTCGGAATTCTCAGGCTTCTACACAAACTCCCACGTCTGATTTTTGTTCAAAGCATTAAGATCTTCTTGCGTAGCTGCATTCCATTCGGGATGACCTTTGGCTTCTTCATAGCTTACTCTCCTATAAAGAAGCAAGACGTAATTGAGTAGCAGTTCAATTGTACCTCATAATCTTTGAAGTAACTTGGTTGTTTTTTCTCCCTTATTGACCTTCTTTCAGTTTGTCGGTCAACATCATCTGAATTTCAGCTTCCTTCATTATTTGGTTCTTGCAAGTTGCTCTCTGGAAGCTGCTCAAAATTCTCTTCATCACCATCAAGAATGGTTTCTTGATTGCTGGTTTTCTTTGCAGAATAGTATGATGATATTTCATCAATAACAACATTTATGGAAGTGACTAGTTTCTTGGTTTCAGGATCCATACACCTCCACCCTTTCCTATAAGAATCATAGCCAACAAAGACACTTTATTTGCTTTTGGATCAAGTTTGGTTCGGTTAGTTTTTGAAATATGAACATAACAAGTTGAACCAAATACTGAAAATGATTTACATTTGGCTTTTCATGATATAGAATTTCAAAAGGGGATCTTTCTTTACGCGGCCATGGAGGCAAACGATTTATCATGTGAACGCGCATTGAATAGCTTCAGGCCAAAGCTGTAACACCTCGAAAACCAGACCTAGAAAAAGAATTGCAGAAAACTTACCTCAGTGAACCACGACAAGGTTAATGGACCATGACAAGGACCACGGTCCGTTGACCATGGTAGGTAGTTGGATTCCACCAAGCTCAGACATCATACCACGGGACCCTTCATGGTCTGTGGTCTTGATGACGGGTCGTGGGGGCATCCCTAAAGATTAGGCAATACTGTAGACCCCACGTCTAAGCAGTGGCGAAGCCAAACATTTTATGAAGGGGGTGCAAAATTTTAGTGAGTTTTGATCACTACTTGAAAAACTTAAGGCTACCAAGGATCAAACCTCCCACCTCGAGCATCCAAACTTGTAACTTGCTCTTTACCACTAAGCCAAGGGTTCTAATCATGTCATGCGCGTGTAAACATATGTATATATAAACAATTTCAGTAATTTGAACTATATATACAATATAATTTTCCGGCGAAAGGTGTTCACTTGCACGCCCATCATTGATTGTAGCTCTGCCCCTGCGTCTAAGTGAAGACCACGAACACCTTCATGGTCTGTGGTCCTTCACACGGCCCATTGGAGGGTCCTAGAACCAGGTGGCCTTAGACCATCGGACCAAGTGAAGACAATGGGGGCCTTCACGGTCCGTGGTGAAACCCGTGGAGTGGACCTCAGAACCTGAGGTAATTGGACCACGACCAGCTTCACGTTTCGTGGTCCCTTTCATGGTCCGTAAAAGTAGTTGTGCTCAGCCCTTCTCCAGCTTTAAGTGAGGGGTTTGTTGGTCTTTTCCTCTTTCGTTGGACCCTTAAACTACAGCGTTTTAACCCTAAACTACGTGATTTTGGTTAGTTTAAGTCTAGAAACATAACTAGAACTTACATAAGCCAAATCTTTCATCAAAACTTAGAAAATTAGAACGTAAGAAAAGAGAAAAGGTTGAGCAACCCTAGTTCAAGAACGCAACAAGGTTTTCTTCAGTTTCAGCCCCGAAATCAAAAGATTCCTTCGTGGAATTCATCACAATGTATGTGGGATTTCACTAGTGGGTTCCTTTCGCCCATTAGGTCCCCACGTCAGATTCGTATTTCCTTATTATAACTAGACCTAGGGTTTCTAGAACTTCAACAAATTATCAAGAATTAGTTATTTACATGTTCCAAATCAGATTATCATGTTATTACTTTGTTTTTTGCATGAATTTCAGAACCCTAGCTATGAATTTCTTTAGTTCTTGAATTACACATGCTAGGTTAGATATTTCAGTATTTCGAATATACATGCCTCAGTTTTTAAATGTGTCATTTTCAGTATATAGTATATTAATGTGCATTCTCAGTTTACATGGCAGATTTTAGCTATCTAGTATATTACAGAAATTCAGTCATAATGTGTCAATCATTTAATCTATTGGGAGTAACATAATACCAAGTTGAACTATGGTCAATCACTCATGTAGTCCCAGAACTAAGAGCCATGTAGGTTGTAAGTCCCCTCTGTGGGCATCATTTAGTGATCACGCCAGTCATGCCTCTATACATATGGCAGGGTATATTTGGTCCTCTTAATGGGGCGTATATATCGGACTCCACATTTAGCTCATGTGCTTCTATTATCAGTTATTAGTAGCTCCTACAGTTCAATCATACTCCATTGCATGACCACATTTCAGTGCAGTCAGTATTCCGTATCATGTTATGAATTTGGTTTGGTCATTGCATTCAGTTAGTTCCATATTCAGTATCTATATCATGTTCAGATTATATTCTTGCTTTATTGCTTATTCAGTTATATGTTTATTCCAGGTTTGCTCTATTCTGCATGCTCAGTGCTGCCTTTTATGTATTGACGCATACTCTTGATTCATCTTCTCTTGATGTAGGTTCAGATTCTCAACTTCTAGATCATGTATAGATCGGTTTCCGATCTTTAGTTCCGCAGCTATAGTGGGGAGTCCTCATTCTTCGAGGACAATAGTCATGTTATTTTTCATTTTTCAATCTTAGCCTTTTAGTTTGAGTTTTGCTAGACATAGTTGGGGCCTGTCCCAAAACTTCTTTCAGACATAGTTAGATTATGTCAGATTTCATTTAGTATTTGAGTTTGATAATTCTTTTGTATTGAACTCTCAGATTATATTTATTCAATTTTAGAATGGGTATTTCCCCATCACTTTCATTTTTATGATATTTTAAGCTTCCGCATCAGTTTATTATTCTTAGTATGCTTATGATATGCCAGCAGGTTAGTTTGAGGTCACTCGTGATCTTAGGTCTCGTGTCCGCGTCTCGGGGTAACTCGGGGCATGACAAAAGTTCTCAAGGAAAATTCTTATCGTGCAACTAGGAAAGGCTTGTAGAAACAAGATGAGTTATTTTCCTTTCGGAAACACCATTCTGTTGGGGGTATTTGGACATGTCATTTGCATCAAAATACCATCCTTATCACACTATTTAAAGAATGCATCAGACACATATTCGCCTCCATTGTCACTACGGAAGCATTTAATTTTTACCCCAAAATCCTTCTCCACTACAATTTTAAATTCAACAAACTTTTACAAGGCTTCACCCTTCTCTTTGAAAAACTTCACCTAGGCATATCTTGAGAAGTCATCTACAAGTACCATGGCATACTGAAAACCACTATAACTTGTTTTTGTTGGTCCCATCAAGTCTGTATGTACCAACTCAAACATAGTGGATCTACAATTTGTTGATCTTTGAAATGGAAGACGATGTGATTTTCCAAATTGACAACCTTGACAAATTACATCTTTATGAATATTCTGTAGAGCTGGTAGACCATCCACCAGTTTCTTCGAACAGATTTGCCGCAACAATTGGTATCCCAAGTGCCCTAGTCGAGCATGCCAAATTGTTACGCTATCCACTAGACTTGTCTTCTTCACATAAGCTTCCCCTACTGCCATGACAAAAAACAAACCTTTCTTTTATCCTGTAAGAACAACATCAGCAAATATGTTCTTGACATTGTCCAGAATCTTCACATCAATTGGACCACACGGAATATATTTACCAGAATCAGTCATTTGAGAAACGGAAACTAAGTTTCTCTTCAAGCCTCGAGCATGAAATACATCCTTCAAATTGACAGTCCCTGTATCTCCAATGTCAATCTTCAAGACTCCTTCATTAGCTACTGTCAATCTTCAAGACTCCTTCATTAGTTACTGGATATGTCGAGTTATCTGCTGTAACAACTACTCGTTCTCTTTTATGTTGACGCAACTCTAAAAGAAGAGAATCATTTCCGGTTACATGATGTGAGCAACCAAAATCAAGGACCCATTCTTGTTTACAGCTATCATTATTGTACAGAGCTTGAACAATTACTACATCATCGCTCCTAGTTCAGTAACCTCAATAGTGAAGCACTTCTCCCATTTCAGTTTCTCATATTCACTTGCAATATTTGCTTTTGAGAGCTTCACTCTACAATATTTCTTGATGTGTCCAATTTTATCGCATCTATAGCACTTCCTATTATCAAAGTTGCCACCAGTAGCTTTTTCACCATTTGATTCTTTTTCATTGTTCCTGCTGTCAAATGATGTGTTTTTCTTTTTATTCTTATCCCTTGAAAAGAGAGTTGCATCTGGTTCAAGGCTTCTTGCCATTTACTTTGCCAATGCCTCTTGGTTGGAAAGCAAATTTTCAAATTCTTCAACTGAAGGTTGCTTTGTCCAGCCCTGAATGGATTATACTCCTTCAATCCTCGAATAATAAATCATCACAATCTAGCTTCACCAATCTTCTTATTAGGATCTAATTCTGAAATTTCAGCACAAATAGTTTTAACTAGCAATAAATATTCAGAAATAAAAATGAATCCTTGTGTTAGGATTGTCATTTCATTTTCCAGCCTTACAGCCAATTAATGTTCTTTTTAGTAATCTCTCAAGTATTTCCCCGACTTCTTTTGGTGAAGTAACATCACCGTACATGATCGATGAGCTCTTTTCCAATTGATGTTCTCAAAGCAAAGAGTGTTTTACCACATTTGATCTTCCATTTTCTCCGTGGTTCTGAATTTTCCGGAGTATTTGCTGGCATTTCTACTTCAGCACCACCAATAAGATCCCACAAGTCTTGACCTTGAAGGTAAGCCTCCATACACATTCTCCAGTAGCTGTAGTTTGTCCCTACAAACTTTTCAACACCAAATTGTGTGTTTGAACTATATCCCTCTTTTGCTGACTCCATATTGCACAAACTTTTTCCCTAGAACTTTCAATCTCCTCAAACAAGACTTACAAAATTGATAGACAAGAAGAAGGAAAGAACGTTTAAGCCAATAACCTGGCTCTTGATACCATAAAACAAAAGCATACGCAGAGAAAAGAAAGAACAAGTACAGCAGTTGAACAAGAAATGGAACAGAGAAGAACTTAATTTTGCTTGAACCAAAGGCTCTGTTCTTTTACAGCAGCACTTAGAGTTATATATAAAATAAGCGTTAACTTCTAACTCCTACAATAACAAATAAGACTCCTAGCTTACTAAACAACTAACCTAATCATCATTCCTAAAATATAGAAATTGTTATTTGACTCAATAACTACAGAAGTAAAACAGTAAAAGAAAATTCTAAGATGCACTAATTTTTAAGTCATTAACGGTTGATGTTGTTCTTTATAACTTCTTAGAATTTAGAAAGAACTGTCACTTCTGACCAACTATATTCATGAAAATTTTCTTAAGACTTCTTACTTAAAATCTCTATCATACTCTATGACTCATAATTTTTTGTGCAACAATAATGGAAATTTAAAAGATATAGTAATTTAAGATTTTGGAGGAACACTTTGCCTTGAGATAAAATATTCTTGAAAATGTAGCGTATGTACCGAAATACGAATATTATCAAATGATCATAATGTAAGCTTAATAATATAGTTCGATCTCATGTGAAGCACAGGTAATCTACCTAGTATAATATAATATAAAATATAACATCCAAATGGAGTGTTCTGAGTTGGGGTAGTAGAGTAATTTATCATTCAAGTTAGGGAGTTCACGTTTTTAAGGTAGTATAGAAAGATATAGATAGATATCAAACATGCCTTACTTGCTCACAAAGGACTCAAAAGTAGTTCTAAAAAGACCTTTTGTGAAAATATCTGCAACTTCTTCAGTTGTTGGAACAAAAGGAATGCACACACTCCCATTTTCAATCTTCTCTTGAGCCACAATATTTCACAAATTCCGTGTGCCATGGATCAATACTCAGCCTCAGCACTACTTCGAGCCACCACATTTTGCTTCTTACTTCTCCATGTCACTAAGTTTCCCCAAACAAATGTACAATATCCAGATGTAGACCTCCTATCAATAGATGAACCAGCCCAGTCTGCATCTGTATAAGCCTTAACAATTCTCTGCTCATTCTTTTTGAAGAACAACCCTTTCCCAGGTGAACTCTTTAGATACCTTAGGAGTCGATACACAGCTTCTTGGTGTTCTTCTCGCGGAGAATGCATGAATTGACTGACTAGGCTCACAGCAAAGGAAATATCAGGTCTAGTATGTGACAAGTAAATCAACTTGCCTACCAATCTCTAATATTGGCCCTTATCAATCAATTTTCCTTAATTTACAAATTTTAGATTTGGATCAATTGGAGTTTCAGCTGATCTACCACTCATTCTTGTTTCTTTTAACAAATCAAGAACATACTTTCTTTGTGACACTATAATTCCTTTCTTTGATCGTGCAACCTCCATGCCAAGAAAGTACTTTAGCGGGCCTAAATCCTTTATCTCAAATTTTGAGGCAAGAGGTTCCTTTAGATTTTTTATTTTAACCACATCATCTCCTGTGAGGATGATATCGTCAACATACACTATGAGAACTATTATTTTTCCTTCTACCGGATGTCGAATAAACATAGTGCGATCTGCTTGTCCTTGCACATACCCTTGCTTTTTCACAAATTGAGTAAACCTTTCGAACCAAGCACTTGGAGATTGTTTTAGACCATAAAGAGGTTTTCTAAGCCTGCATATCTTTGACTTGTACTTCCCTTCAAAACCTGGTAGGGGATCCATATAGACTTCTTCCTCTAGGTTCCCATTCAAGAAAGCATTCTTCACATCCAACTGTTGAAGAGACCAGTCGAGATTTACTGCGATTGTCAACAGAACTCTGATTGAGTTTAGCTTAGCTACTGGAGTAAACGTCTCGATAGTCAATGCCATATGTCTATGTGAATCCCTTAGCTACTAGGCGGGCCTTATACCTTTCCAATGATCCGTCTGATTTGAATTTGGTGGTGAACACCCATTTACAACCCACTGGTTTCTTTCCCTCGGGTAAATCCACTAACTCCCATGTCTCATTTTTTTAAGAGCTTGCAATTCCTCCAAAATAGCCTCCTTCCACTCGGGAACTTGTAGAGCATCCTGCACATTTGTTGGAATTTCCACACTAGAAAGTTGTGAAGTAAAGGCTGAATAACTAGGAGACAACTCTTTATAGGACACAAACATAGAAATAGGATATTTAGAAGTATTTCTAACACCTTTTGCATTTCGTAATAGGTAGATCTAGATCTAAAGAATTAGAAATAGAATCAGTTGGAAGAGTACCTTGAATTACAATGAGGTCTTGTGGGACTGATTTTTGGCAATGTTGAGAATCTTCGGCCCTTTTTTCTTGGGTTTTGTTCCTTCTCGAATACACCTGCATTTCTGTTTTTTGTTCTCTATTTCCATTTTTATTTTTGTCATTTGAAGGCGCCACAGGTTCAGGTTTCAATTTCTGAGTTTTTATCATTCAAGTCACTTTGGTCCTTATCATCTCTTGGATGACACTTATCTATATCTTTTCCTACATCTCTCACATTATTATTTACTGTAATATTAGGCTCATCATTTGCTTGATATCTAGTTTCCAAAATATCACAAAAAAATGAATCTTCACCTACATGATACTCCCCCTAAAGATGAGTAGTAAACTAGAGTTGTAACTCAAAGAAAGTTAGGTCTATTGTGACAATTATCTTCCTAGCATGTGGATCATAACACTTATATCCCTTTTGACTGACTTGGGGCATATCCTACAAAAATACACTTCTTAGCTCGCAATTCAAGTTTTCTACGATTATGAACATGAACAAATGGTGTACAACCAAAAACTCTCAGAGGCAGATCTGTAGTTAACCTAGAACTAGGAAAACTTTCTCTAAAAACTTTAAAGGTATCTTAAATTCAAGAGGACGAGATGGCATCCTATTAATAAGGTAAGTGGCAATCAAAAGAGTCTCTCCCCAAAGTTGTTGAGGAACTTTACTAGTAAACATTAAAGCTCTCGTTACCTCTACAAAAGGTGTCTATTCTTTCTTTCGGCGATCCCATTTTGTTGAGGTGTATCCGGACAAGAGCTTTGGTGTACTACCCCAGTTTCTGAAAAAGTTCCCTAATTGTTCGTTAAAAAATTCTCGGCCATTGTCACTCCGAAAAATCTTGATTTTCTCATTGAACTGGTTTCTACCATGACATAGAAAGTCTCAAATACATTTTTAACCTCAGATTTGTCCTTCAATTAAAAAAAAACCCAACTCAATCTAGTATGATCGTCAATAAAAGTTACAAACCACTGTTTTCCAAACATTGTTGAAATTCTACATGGTCCCCATACATCACTATGAATCATTGTAAAAGGTTTTGAAGCCTGATACTTTTGAGAAGGAAAAGAAGAACTGTGATGCTTAGCCATTTCACAAAATTCACATTGAAATAAGGATGGATTTTTATTTTTGAATAACTGAGGTAACAAGTGTCTTAAATAATAAAAACTTGGATGTCCAAGCCTATAGTGCCAAAGCATGATTTTATTCAAAACAAAAGTAGAGTTCAAACAAATAGGATTCAGTTGTAGTGAGTTGTTCCCGTTATCAAGAAAATAAAGACCTATTGATTCTCTAGCACTGCCAATCATCTTCCCCGAGACCTTTTCCTGAAATTCACACAAATCGAAATCAAATATAGCACGATAATTAAGAGAACGGGTTAATTTACTAACAGAAACTAAATTACAAGAGAGCTTTGGAACAGGAAGAGTATCATGAAGTGTAAGAGATTGTGATAGCTTAATAGTTCCTTTTCCAGCAATTGCAGAGAAGGAACCATCAGCTATCTTGATTCTATTGTTCCCTGCACAAGGAGCGTAAGTAGAGAAAAAACAGGTACTTCCAGTCATGTGGTCACTAGCTCCTGAATCTACAATCCAAGAATCTATTTGGTTGGAATTGACACTAAGAAAAGCAGATGATACAGTACCTGTTTGAGCAAAAGAACAGGAAGGATTAGAAGAATTTGGTGCATTTGAACAAAATTGTAGAGATTGAAGGAGTTTGTGCAGAATTTCCAATTGTTCCCCTGTAAATGGAGACGTTTTTGGAGAAGGTTGTTGCCCTTGATCAAAATTAGTTGTTTGGAGGGCCTGCCCGTTTTGAAATTGAAAGCAGGTCTGTCCATTTTGAGATTGAAAGCCACGATTATCAACTCCCTTTTTCTTCTAGTTTAGTGGTTTCCCATGAATCTCCCAACACGTTTCACGGGTGTGCCAATATTTTTTGCAATGATCACACCATGGGTTTTTGTTTCTGTTCTCTCCATTCTTCACTGTTAAAAGAGCTGAAGAGTCTATAACAGGTTTTAGTTCAACTAAATCAGGTCTTAACATAACTTTCCTCCTAGTTTCCTCTCTTCTAACTTCAGAATGTTTCACGAAGAGAGGGCAGAGGATTTTTTCTTAGGATTCGAGACCTGATCTCGTCAAACTCCCTATTTAATCCTGCTATAAAAAGGTAAACTCTCTCACTTTCTTCCCTTTTTTTTGCTTTCACACTATCCACAAAACACTCTCATTCATTATTGTAACACTAGTCTAACTCCAGCCACAATGACACCATTTCATTATAATAAGTAGTAACTTCATTCTCACCCTGCTTAGCTTGCCATAGTTTAATTTTTAACTCAAAAATTTGAAAGGCATTTTCTACATCAGAATATGTCTCAGTAACAGCTTCCCACACATCCTTAGCCGTGGGCAAAAAGAGATATGATTTACCTATGACTGGTTCCATGGAATTTATTAACCAAGCAATCACGAGTGAATTCTCTGATCTCCAGGAGTTGATCTTCGGGTCTCCAACTTCCGGCTTTTTTGTTTCTCCGGTCAGATGTCCTAGCTTTCCACGGCATCGATTGAAAGTTTTACGGACTGTGCCCATTCCAGATAGTTTTTCCCATTTAATCGATGAGAAGAAGTTAACTGGAAGGGCATGTGAGAAGCATCGCCCCCTTGGGCCATCAGATTTTCTGCAGGAGCTTCCAAAGAAGAACTTTTGTCTTCTATTGATATTTCAGAAAGATGTTCTTCGTGAAAGGTTGTTTCATCCATATGATATTAGGGGAAATCGTCCCGCTCTGATACCATGTAAGTTGAGATACTGAAAAAATATATTTTATTCATAGTGTTTTGTACAGTATTTATAGGAGAACAAGTAAAGACCAATTAAACTAATCAATCTCTAATTCTTAGGAAATCCTTGAATCAAGGGATTTCCTCTAAACTATTTTCCTAGAATAATATATTCTAATCCTATATTTACAAAAAACAGATCCTAATCAAATCTGTCAGCTTTATTTGTGGAGCAGATTATAATCAAATCTGTCAGCTCATTCAACAGTTACTCCTCTTTCTTTGATGTGGTCATGTGGGCAATTTGGAAATAGAGGAATAAGGGAGCTTTTGAAGGGGTTGAAATTAATTTTTGCTCGATTGAGGAGTAGTCTCCAATCCCTTATTTTCTTTCTGAGCACTCGCGTAGTTCTTATTTGTATAGAGGGTTGAGTGTCGTTTGAGAAAACCATATTTTGTAGGTTTATCCTCCTTTTGGTAAATCACTTGTATACGACCAAGTTGACTGTGCTACTACCAATGAAACCTTTTACTTATCAAAAAATATTAAGGTTGATGAAGCAAGTTATAAAAGTATGAATGGGTGTGCAGGTATCTCACTAACACGAGACCTGACATTTCGCAAGCAGTAGAGATCTAAGTAACTTTTTTAAGTCAAAATTAAATGACTTTTAAGTTAAAAAATAAAAAGTAAGGAGAGTCCTACTTTTGGTTTTTAACTTATTTTAAGTTATTTTTAACTTTGTCAAACACTCCCAAAAGCTAAAATGACTTAAAAGTAGGTTTGACCAACTTCTAAGTCAATTCAAACAGGCTCCAAGTGTCTTGTCCAAATTTCTTAATTGTGCGAGTGAAATGCACATGAAAGCAGCCAAAAGAGTGATAAGTTTTTTTTTTTTGATAAGGGTTAGGGAAAAGAGTCACGTCGAGGAAACTTTGGAGTAAGGTGCTAAGTTTTGTAAAAGTCTGAAGTCCAAGGTTATTTTGATAGTGATTGAGATGGGTTAGTTGATAACATAAAAAGTACTTCAGGTAATTATTTTAGCATCGGTTTGGGATGTTTTTCATGATGCTCAAAGAAGCACGGTCGTTGTAATTACAGTCAACTGCAGAAGTTGAATTTATAGCTGCAATAGCAGCAGTTAATCAAGATTGTTGGCTAAGGAAGATCCTATAAGATGTTGATCTAGAGCAACAAGAAAGAACATACAGGTTTGTGGATGATAGGCATCCATATCGATTTCTCATAATCTAGCATTTCATTTTAGTTTTCGTGGGAAAACAAAACATTCTAATATCATATTGTACTTTCTGAGGGAAGTGCAAGGAGGAGAGGTCAAATTGGTTTATTGCAAGTCAGGAGATCAAATTGCAGATGTATTTACTAAGCCTTGAATTTCTAATAATGAGGGTTGGACTATGCAGTTGTTGAGCCAGCAGGAGTGTTGCAGTTGTCTGTAGAACTGCAGCTTATTTTCAGAAAATACTCAGCTGGTGCCTAGGTGTCTGTCTACAAGACCAAAACTTATAATTAAGCTAGAAGAGAAAGAACAGAACATACGGAAGAAAGTAAATTGGTAGTATTATTTTCTTTTTTAGTTGTTTCTCTTTTTCCTAATTTATTTAAAATTATGTTAGTTATTTTAGTTCCTTATTTTCAGTAAGCAGTAAATCAGTTTAGCAATTCTCATCAAATCAAAATTGGATTAGGTTAGGAACACTCACCCTTCCATAAGCATTAATATCGAGTCCATTATCAAGCAATTTGGCAAGATCTTCCTTCAAAAACCTCTGTTTCGACTCAGCTCTCCGTCTCACCACCTCGATTCTCGTCCTTGTAGCCTTTACTAGCGATTTGCTTCATTCATCCCAAAACCGAAGTGAAAAATCACAAATTTTAAAAGATAACAAGATAAAAAGCCATACATACCATTTGGAGCTGAAACCACGGGTTAGTATACCGTCAAGCATCTCCGATCTCACTTTTGAGCTTCAAGTATCTATTTCTGAAAACAGATCCGAACTACTCCAGTGAGTGTTTGCAGGAGATTTTGGATTTTTAACTCAAAATAATGAGTGCACTTATTCTCAACCTCTTTATTATTTTACTTTCTTCTCCCTTTCACTTCGAATTAGATGGACACAATATCAACGACTACCCAGCTCTGAACAACCCATTATATTATATCATTCAACTTTTAGGTTTGCACAAAAACACATTTAATTTAAAAGACTCAATATATCTACGTGATCATTAAAATTGTCATAAATTTTCACTTACAGATATTAGTTCGACCGTATCATTTTAGACATTTTATGTTGTGTTCTATTAAGTTATTTTTTGATAAATTTTGCTAATGTAGTAAAGTAAGTGTGATACACTCATTGATAGCGTGTGTAAGACTTATTTAGCCTATTTTACTTATATTTTTTCTCTTCTTTCTTTCTCATTTAGCTAGTACATCTTCTTACATTTCTCTCTTGAAAATTTTTAAAAATTCATTAAAAACTTCTTTCAAACCGTCTATTATATGTGTTGAAAAAATATAATGTCAATATTATTGAATACAATACATACTTGACCTTACGGGTTGATGACATGATAAATTTTGCATATAAAAAAACTTGAAAATTGTTCAGCAAAACAACTTTAAGAATAAAAGAAAAATTAAGTATAAAGAAAAAATTTACTATCTAATTTTAACATATTCACATCGCCCTTATAATTTCTACATTTCGTATTTATAATGCTAAACAGTAAATTAAATATTAAAAAATAGGAGAAAGGTATGGTGAAGAAGACAATGAAGTCAAATGGATATTACGGAAAAAATCATGGTCCATGAGAATGGAGAAGTATATGGAATGAAAATGGGTGAAAAGAAAATGAGAGAGGAGAAATCTGAAGAAGAAATTTGTGTAGTAGTGAGAATTTTTTTACGAAGAAGATGATCGGTGTGGGTGGGGAAAGAGGGGTGGGAGGGTAAATCTTCAAAATAATTTGTTTTCAATTGGTCAAGGCCCTTTCTATTTGACCTTTAATTTTTTTCTTTAATTTATTTTTGTGTGTTTAATGACATTGCTTTAAAATGAGATTGCATGACATAATTGGTCATTTATTCCATGTGGATATATTTGGTCAACACGCCCGTAGGATCAACAAAAAATTGTGAAAAAGTGTCAAAATGACACAAAGAGGCATGACATAAAGTATTTATAATGAAAAAAGTCTAGTTAAGGCATCTAAGTGAAAATTGTTGTCAGTTTTAGGGGCTCACCGATGGGTTAAGCCTAATATATAGAGTTGCCAAAATAAAATTAAATCCATTTAAATTATTAGCTCAACTTATATTAATTTATTTTAAATTATTATATAAAGTCAAATATATATATATATATATATATATATATATATAT